CTGGCTGCTTTCGCGGGTCTACCCCTAGATCAGAATGACGGTTGGAGAGGCATCTTGGCTGATTTGGTCTTTTCGGTTCCAGAAGTACTAGCTTCCGTCGAAATCGATACCACCGAATTACCTTCGGAAACTGCATTGCCAAATTCACTTTAGCATTCAAATATCCTAAAATGAACTCGTATACGTCAAAGACATAAGAACAAATATATTACCTTCTAAGTCTGTAACCGGTACATGATATAAGAAGGAAGCGTGATATCGGTCTGGAAACCTAGCTGATCCGATTCGAGAAGTGGTGTACGACGCCCAAGTACAAGGAGTCTGCTGCAGTTTTCGAAAAAGAGCTCTGGTAAGCTTGTTCGGGAGCTCAGCAGGATCTTCGATATCTGAAAATATAAACGAACGTCCGTTAGACTATAACCGGTGAGAAATCAACAAACACATTCCTAACAGATCCTAACCAGACGCATCAGACCAAGAAGCCCTAAGGGTACGACCCGCCGGGACCGTCAAAGGATCAATTTTGACGTAAAAGTACTTCCTTCTCCAGTCATCGTCACTACTGGAAAATTTGAAAATACCCAACCTGGGACGACAAGCAAGGTAATAGGTTCCACTACCACCATCCTTGGAAGCACTCTCCTTTATCGAAAACAGGCTCATCAAGGAGCTTAACTCAGTAGAAACTCCCTCTTCTTTGGATCTAGTGATAAAACTGTTTATCACTCGAATGACTGAGGGGCAAAGTTGGGAGAGGGCTAGTCGATAATGATCTAAGAGGTCTAACAGGAGGTCAGGAAGGGGAAACCTGAGATGGCTCTTGGAAATATAGTTCTTGTGAACACAAAACCAACCCTCCGGAGCCATCTCGGGAGTCTCCCCGGGTTTACAAGCTCTGGCCAACTCTTTCTGACCTTGGGCTTGAACCATAAGGTTCACAACCTCTTGGCTTCTCAGAACAGAAGACAGATGAGACCCGGAAGGTGCACTCCCACTGGAGCCTCCGGTCTTTTTTGTCCGCTTGGAAACTCTTTGGGCTATCGAGTCCTTAACCCTCTTCTTCCTCTCGGTCCTCCTCATGGATTCACCAACTTCTTGTTTCACCTTCATAAGCTGAGCACCTGAAGCAGAGATTCCCGTCTCTCCGGAACCTTCCTTTGGTCGGGTCATAGCGAAAACGATGAAGGAAATTGAAAAGAGATAAAAAGGGGAAAAGAAAGATCGAGCTAAATAAATCGGAACCTCTGGAGACAACAATTTCGAGAGAAGTAATTCGAAGGCTTAACAAGAAAGAAATAAAAAACTGCAAAAGAAGAAGTAAAATAAAAAGAAAGAACCAGAAGAAGTTACCTGGGGAAACTGAATCGAGACGTGGAGAGAGTGGGGAAGTTGGAATTAATGTGAACAGCTTTATATCTCGTCGAAGCCTCGAAAATCGGAGAATAATCATTTCGAAATTCTTTTAATCTGAGTCGTTGATTTCGTTAGATATAATTATATCCGTCAGATCGAATAAAAGATATCCTCGAGAGAAGATCCCGAGTAATCATTATCTTAACGAAAATTAAAGATTCGGCGGCTAGGTTTAGCTCCAGAGAAAAGCATCTTATCTCGAAAGCTGGGGGCAACTGTTGGGCCCAAATATGGCCCGTCGGCTGAAGTTAGCAAACCAGTTGAGCAAGTCTAATAATGGGCCGCACATGGGTTATCATCTCGAAGAAGAATACAATTCACCTAAGGACGGAAGCTATTCCCAGGGAGGTCACGAGAAAGAGGTCACGAGAAAGAGGTCACGGAGAAGAGGTCCGGCTTCTTTCGTAGGAACCTAATAAAACAGCCTAGGAAACGAAGATAGAGATGTACGATTCGGTCAAAAGGAAGCTGTTGCAAATCCCTCAGTTTACGGAGAGAATCTCGGAGACTAATGAGGAGAAGTTACACGTGACCTGAGGCTATTTAAAGGAGGAAGGAATGAAGAGAAAGGGATTCATTCATTCTACCATTTTTACACATATTATTGCTCATAAATCTTTCCCATAATACTTTGTAATCATCAAAATCATCTTATTAATCATCTTTGTAATCATTCTTCGTCAAGAACATTCAATACAATCATAATTCATTCTCTAAGTTCTAACAGGATTCAGCCCACGTTATCTTTTCTCCAATCTTAACCTAACCTAAATTAGGAAGTGAGTTTTATCCCTCACAACCTTCATATAGTCATCTTCCATTTGACAATGGAGCAAATCACTTTAAGCTCCTCTTACGTTTCTCCAGAATCGCCAATGCTTTTGGTGTGAACAAGCTTGTGAAACTTTTCATCTCCTTTACCTTAAGTAAGTTGCTAGCCATAATATGGTGTCTAATTGCCTCTAGCAATGCAACAATAAAACTTTTTCGAACTTCCTTGAACACTGCATTATGTAACTCACTGATATTGTTCTCTACTGCAGCTGACTTGGTGGGGCCACTGAAAAATGCCCTATACCAGTAAGAATCAGTGGTCCTCTTCACTTCCTCATATGCTTCCTTCTTCATCTTCTCAAGCTGCGTAAAAAAAAAACAGTTTTATTGTACGCTCTAGCACATTTCCAAAACGTCTTGTGCAATGGCTCCATCTGTTTGTACTTTTTTGTAAGTTAGAAAAGATGTGTCTAGCACACATTCTGTGTTCTGAATAAGGAATGACGTTTTTAATGGCATAAATTAAACCTTTTTGCTGATCTGAACATAGAGCAAGCCCATTACCATCCTCTAATCCCAAATCTTCTCGCACTAACTCCATAAACCACTCCCAATTAACTTTATTTTCGGCAGGTACAATAGCCCATGCTATGATATATACATCAACTCATTAGGATCTCTTCCCACAGCAGTTAACAATTTCCCTTTCATTCTTAATTTAAGAAAGGTCCCACCTAGGTGTATAATCCGCCTACAAGCACTCTTCCAACCGGTCTTCTAAGACTGAAAACAAATATAGAACTTCTCAAAAACTCGATCTTTTGTTCATAAAATCCCAGTAGAACCCTCATTAGTCTTCCTCAACTCCTCCACATAATCATAAATTCTCGTGAACTGCTCGGCATACTCGTCCACAGTGATATGTTTCATAATCTGTCTTGCACTCTGACATTTGGTTTTTGTAACCCGAAGACCTTCTATACCCAACCTCTGCATGATTTGATCAGCTGACAACTTCGGATTGTGCCTAAACTCATTGATAAAATCAGCGGCTATCTTTGGTGCAGTGTAGAGGTCGACAACACCTATAGGATAACAATTATGTTTTCTTTTATACGATCTCACCACCATTTTATCTGAGACTGGCTATTTATTGACGCAAAAAGTCTCCACTTGCAACAGTCTTGAGCACATATAGCCGCTATTCTCTTCTTTTCTGATTTCCGAAAATGGATGTTCATCTTCTCTCTCATATCATACTTCTCAATTGTTCCCCTGCACAACAAACTCTTGACCTACAAAGAATTCTATGGGACTACCATCATCTGAATCATCACTCTCAACATAATCATCCCCATAGAAATCAATATGTGCATTATCATCCTCAGATTCCTCTTCTTCTACATCATCTCCAATAAGAACATCATCTAAACATGGATCATCCTCTCTAACCACATACAAAGTCAGACTCTCTAACTCTAGTGAACTCTGAAGCATTTCTTTAACATCTTGTAACTCCACCATTGTATAAACCATCACTACCCCAATATCATCCAAGGTGTAATCGGAAAAAAATAGTTCTATGATAAATAGAAACAAAAAAATACATAAACCTCAAATCCTTCGATACAAAACCAAAATTGAAAACCATAACAGCCAGAAACTCAACAACAATAGAAATAAAAGATTATCTTTTCATATTAAATCTTCAAAAAGCTTCAATTCTCTAGAATTTTGAACATAATCGTTCCTCTTTTTACTTGAACTTCTCCGTCGATTTATAAGTAATCAAGAGAAAAACTCACCCGAACTCTTTTATATTCAACTACGAAACCCACCCGAAATATATTCTAGTCAATTACCCACCCAAAATCTCAGAATCATGAGGAATTCATCGCAACTAGGGTTACTGATTTGAGATTTTTTTTTATTTATGTCGTGAAAAGGAGTTTAAAGTCGTGTAAAACGACTTCGTGCTAGTTTGGAAAACATACATGTCGTTTTTAAGAAGTTTATGTCGTTTTCGTGGTCAGACGAAATGTGTCGTTTTGATTTAACGAGTCTCCGTTTAATAAAGATGACCGTGTTGACGGAGGGTTGACGTTATTAACGATTAATAGTTGAAAGTTTAAAAACATAAAATTTTAGTTGGAAATTTTGTTTTACGATTTAAAAATAATTAGAGGTTTAAATAACTAAAAACCAAAAAAAAAACAATTTAGTGGGGATTATTGGTTCTGGTATTTTAATGAAGACCGATTTCTAATTTGTTAGTTTGAGTTTATTAAAAAAAACGAAAATGAATTGATTTGGTCATTTTATTAAGAGTAATTCTCTCAAATAGCACTCTTTTAAGTTTTTATCACAAAAATAAACCTTAAAAATTAAAATGACCAAAATAACACATTTATTTTGAAAATTTTAAGTTTTTTTAACGTTTTTTAAATTCGAAACCCTATCCTCAAAACCTCACTCTTTAAATCTAAACAAAAAAATCTAGGATTAGTTAACTCAAAAGTATAAATGTATATTTAATAAAATATTTAGATATTTTGGTCATTTTAATTGTTAAGGTTTATATTTTTGATCTTATTCTAATCATTTTCTCTTTTATTTATTAACTTAGCCTGAGCGCAAAAGACAAACAACATTCTCTCTCTCTCTCTCTCTTTTTCGATTCACCTCTCTCCGAGTGTCATCGAGCTCCGGATCTCATCATCATTCATCCGTCGATCTGTTAGCCGTCCTAGGCCGAATCTATAGATATCGATTTGAAGGTTAGATTTACAAATTCAAAGTGGAGAAAAAGGATCATGGCTGTGGTTGATGTTCACCGGTTCGCAGAGTCAATCACTTGTCATGCTTGGAGTCCTGATCATTCCAGTAACTTTCTTCACACACGCCTCTTTGTCTTTTTTCCTTCGCTTGTGTTTCTTTTTCGGTGCCTCTTGTTTAAAGGAAGGAGGAATCTTTGTGCCTGATTATAGCAATAGATCGCTTCATATATAGTCTTAGTGGCTTAGGTTCAACATAGCAAGACAGCATTTGAAGATTCCAGGGAGATTATAGGTTTGGTTAGTAACATTTACGTCTGTAACCATTTATGTGAAAGTTTTTTCCTATTTTTCTTGTAGTGGTTGCGTTTTGTCCTAACAATAATGAGGTTCATATCTATAAATCATCACAAGACCAGTGGGAGAGGTTACATGTCCTCGAAAAGGTGAAGCTTTTCTCTCTCTCCCATCTGAAACTAACTTCCTTTCTCCTCTTGGGGATTCTACACTTTATAGACAGCTTGAATCTCCCTTACAAGTTTTGTTTGAATCTGTTGCAGCATGACCAAATTGTTTCTGGAATTGACTGGAGCTCAAAGTCCAACAAAATCGTCACTGTTTCCCATGACAGGAACTCGTAAGTTGAAACCTTTGATATCCTAGAAAACATTCCATCTGGGTAACCTTGCACTTATGTTAATGCTATTATGAGAAAATACAAAGCTTTTATTCGTGAAACTGAGTTTGAAATTCTTGAAGGTACGTGTGGAGCCTAGAAGGAGGTGAATGGGTACCAACTCTCGTTATTCTTAGACTAAACCGTGCTGCACTTTGTGTCCAATGGAGTCCAAAAGGTAAACGTATCAGATCCAAAAGATACGAGTTTATTTTGATTCGTTGTCTATGTAATATACTTGTTTTATAATTTCTGCAGCTTCTAATCTGTTTCCCCCGTATTTTTATTCAATTCTTTTAGAGAACAAGTTTGCTGTTGGAAGTGGTGCTAAAACTGTTTGTATATGCTATTATGAGCAAGAGAATAACTGGTAATTTCTCTTTTTTTCTCTTATTTGTGACATGTTTTGGTATTTTGGTAGCTGACATTGCTTGGTTTTACTGTTCTCAGGTGGGTCAGTAAACTTATCCGGAAACGGCATGAATCTTCAGTCACAAATGTTGCTTGGCATCCTAATAATGTTCGTGCGCTAAACACATTCGTCTACTTCAGTAGCTAAAATAATAATCAGACTTTCTATAGATTCATTATCTACCGAATATATTCCATATGTTAGAGTACATGATATTGATACCCTAAAATAGAATATCAATCTCCACAATTGTCTGTTTTGCATTAGATTCTTCTGGCGACGACATCTACAGATGGAAAATGTCGGGTATTTTCAACTTTCATCAAAGGAGTAGACACAAAGTAAGCTCATTACTCGAAAATCTACTTTAAACCCATTTTTTTGAGAATGTAGGCCAGTTTCTTATTTGTCTCCACTGACTGGGCTTAAACAGGGATCCAAAAGCAGGCTCACCAGCAGAATCCAAATTTGGGGAGGTTTGTTTTCTTTGTCAGGCTTCCTTGTTCTAGTAATAAACTAATGCTTATCCCCTATATATCTTCTCTCCACCCTCTTATCTAATACTATGGAGCTTTTTCGGCTGTGTCGTTGTTGAAACAGCAAATTCTACAACTTGATCTGTCATATTCTTGGGCTTTTGGTGTGAAATGGTCTCCAAGTGGAAACACCTTAGCTTATGTAGGTCAGAATATCCTTTAACACTTAATATGTTTGCCCACTGAAATCATACAATCGAACTTATCTTTGTTACATAATTTTTACGACGCGATTCCTCACTTCCTTTGTATAGGTCATAGCTCGATGATTTACTTTGTTGATGACGTTGGTCCTTCTCCTTTAGCTCAAAGCGTTGCATTTAGAGATTTGCCTCTTCGTGATGTGGGTCAGCATCCACCTTTCTTTTATATTCGAGAACCTGGTCTTCTCTTTCTCCGTGTGTTATGTCCTGAACTGATATATATTATCTGGTGCTTTCTGTTTCAGGTTCTCTTTATATCTGAGAAAATGGTGATAGGCGTTGGTTATGACAGCAACCCAATGGTGTTTGCTGCAGATGATACTGGAATATGGTGCGTAGCTCTCAGAACTATTTGCTTAATTTTCTCCTCTTCCAATTTAATCTTTCCATCATTTAATTATATTACTACTATGCTTAGATCACAGGCCAGATAATTTTTCTGAATTGATCCGCACACCGATAAATGCTTTGTTATAAAGCTTTTCATTTTGGTCTGTAGGAGCTTTATCAGATACATCGGGGAGAAGAAAGAGGAATCTTCAGGTTCCAGTTATAGTTCGCAGGTACATACTAAGTTTTCTTTTCTTATACTTTGCTGCAATACATCTTGTTTTAGTCTTACAGTATGTTATTATATAAGTGAAACTTTAGCTTATTCCTGAATTTTCATAATGTTATGTTTTTCAGTTTTCGGAAGCGTTTACGAAATTTTACGGTCAGTCAAAGGCTACAACAGCCAACGAAGCTTCTGAATCCTCTAAATCGCGTGGAGGCGTTCATGATAACTGCATAAAGTAAACAAAATATATCTATTAAGCTAAATTTACTTTTACAATATCACTTGCAGGGCTGTGTCTCTTTTACTGTTTTATTCCATGGTCTGTTAGAGAGACTGACCCGTAAACTGACCTGAAACTTGCAGTTCCATTCTACCTCTTAGCAAAGCTGGGAGTCCTAAAGTAATGCGATTCAGCACTGCAGGTTAGTCGCTAATTAAAAATTTATATTCTTTCATGGAATCAGCCGATTTATCTGCTTGTATATTGCGTTTGTTATTTATATAGGATTGGATGGCAAAATAGCCATATGGAATCTAGAGAACATGGAAGAAGAACTTGGCCATCAGTTTTAATAATAAACACATAAAATAAGCAAATCTAAGGTTTTACTTGATTTGTATATCAGATTTTTTTTTGTTTTCCCTGCCATTTGTAACCCTTTTCCGATTTCATAACTGTTTCACTTTGTAAACCACAATAAGCCTTGCAGAGCTTATGTCTTTTGCCTCGTATCTTTGTAATGTCTTGGATGTTTCTGATTGATTCCTTTTAGTTAATATAGCATCTTGTAATGCCTTTGCTGTTTAACTTGGCATTTCATCTGTGATGGATGGATGACAGACCACTAAAATGAATCAATCATGAGGCATGTAGTACTTTTGTCTAGTTTCAGTCAGCTTAAATTTTCTAAGTTCTTCATGAGTTAGAAAACTTGACCACTGGTGGTGTGTCTTTAGTAAGCTGCAGGTGTTTTATTATACTTTATCTATTTCAGTGACAAATCTAAGGTTTCGGTTTCACTAAGTTGTTTTCAAAATTCTATGCAAAATGTAATATGATAAAATAAGATTTAAATAAAAAATTCGTTTGCTCATGAAACACAGGGTTGGCTGCGATATACAATGCTGACTTACTGTCACAGAACATCTCCATAAGTGCAGAGTATTCAACCCCCAAATCTCTCAGAAGTCGTTTGAGCCACTTAAGCTCACGTAGTGCCACCGCCATGGACCTGTACTCTGCTTCAGCTGAGGAGTGAGAGACCGTATCCTGTTTCTTTGTTTTCCAGTAGATAGGAGAGTTACCTAACAGCACGATGAAAGAGGACAGAGAGCGTCGAAACTTTGGGCAAGCCGTCCAATCTGCATCACGGAACACACAAAGACGCAGATCACTTACAGCTCTCAGCATAATGCCTTGTCCAGGACACCCTTTTAGATACCGCATTACTCGAACTATTGCATCCCAGTGGGCTTCTCGTAGATGTTGCATCACCTGTGAGAGTACGTGTACTGCATAACTCAACTCTGGCCTCGTAATGGTAAAATAAACAGGTTTACCGACGAACCGTCGAAATCGCTCTGGATTCTTATAAAATGGTCCCTTATCTGACAGAAGCTTATGGTTCTGTTTCATTGGCGTCGACACGGGTTTACATCCAAGCAAGCCTGCTTCAACCACAATGTCTAAAGTATACTTCCTCTGAGTCAAGAACATCCCTTGTAGTCCTCTTGCAATCTCAATACCAAGAAAATACTTAGCTTTTCCCAAGTCTTTCATCTTGAAGCAATTGCTCAAGTACTCTTTGAACTTTACTACCATCTTCAAGTCATTGGCGGCAATGATTAAGTCGTCCACATAAACTAGAACTCTCAGAGATTTGTCACCCTTGATGTAAGTGAGGAGTGAGTAGTCAGAGTAGGACTGCTTAAAACCAAAATTCTTCAACGCATTCGTCAGCTTCGCGAACCAGCATCGCGGAGCCTGTTTCAGTCCGTAGAGTGACTTTCTCAGGCGACACACCTTCCCTTCTCCTGCCGTCTGAAACCCAGGAGGCATTTTCATGTACACTTCTTCCTCCAACTCTCCGTGCAAGAATGCGTTGTGTACATCCATTAGGTGAACTTCCCAGCTCTTGGCAGCCGCAACTTCCAACAATGTTCTCACTGTATTTAATTTTACCACCGGCGCAAATATCTCGTCGTAATCTTCTCCTTCTACTTGTCTGTTTCCACACACCACTAGTCTTGCTTTGGGTCTTTCCACTGTTCCATCAGCATTGAACTTGTACTTATAGATCCACATACATGCCAGCGCTTGCTTCCCTTTAGGAAAGCTCGTCACATCCCATGTCCTTTGTTCTTCAAGAGCCACTACTTATGTTGCCATCGCTTCTCTAAACCGTGGGTCTAACATAGCTTCTTTGAAATTCCGCGGCTCTTTCTCTGAAGGTATAGCTGCAAGGAACACTTGATATTTCTCAGAGAACACTGCATCGGTGACATAAGCAGAAATGGGATAAGACGACGTACCTTGGACCGTTGAGGACCTTGATGGAGCGGTTGATGGTGAAACGAGAGTGGTGTTATGTTTATCAAGACACTGAGCGTTGTAAGTAACATAATCTCTGAGCTTGACAGAGGGCTTTGAGATGCGATGTCCTCTCCCTAGCTGCTCCTCTTGCGCAATTATATTACTCTCAACATCATCAACCGGTGTCACAACATCTGTCTCAGTCACTGATTCCCCAGAAGCTACAACCTCTTCATCGCTCCTTCCTAACTCCTCAACCGGAAGATCATCACTTCCCCTCAACTCCATAACCGGGAGCTCGTAGACTGACGAAGTTACATCGTTTGCCTCCGTCTGAAAAGGAAATGAACACTCATTAAACACTACATCACACGATGTAAAGAACTCATGACTCTCCAAGTCATACAGTCGCCAGCCTCGTTTCCCAAATGGATATTCCACGAAGACGCACTTTCTGCTTCTCTCTTTGAATTTGTCCTTGTCACGAGAATTCTTATGAGCAAAACACAGATACCTAAAGACTTTGATATCGTCATACGATGCAGCCTTGCCATAGAGGCACTCGTACGGTGTTTTTCCATGTAGCAAGCTGGATGGAGTTCTGTTGATTACATGTGCTTCTGCAAGAACGCACTCTCCCCATAATTTGATGGGAAGGCTGGCTTGAAACATCAGTGATCTCGAGACATTCAGTATGTGACGGTGCTTACATTCGACCCTACCATTCTGCTGCGGAGTAGACACACACGACGTTTGGTGGACAATGCCGTTGTCCGAGAAGTACTTCGACAAACACATGAACTCAGTCCCATTATCACTCCTAACCTTTTGAACCGAGTTCCCAAACTATCTCTCAACGAAGGCGCAGAAGTTTGGTAAGATCGTCTTAACCTCTGATTTCTCAAGAAGTAGATGTGTCCAGACAGCTCTGGAGAAGTTGTTCGTAAGGAAGTACACAGCACCGCATGAAGATGGCACTCTGTAAGGACCCCAAAGATCAACATGTATTAATTCAAATGCAACGGAAGCTTTATTGTAACTTTGGAAAATACACCACGAGTTTGTTTGGACTTGAAACAGATGTCACATCCACCAAATTTCTCCTTATTGTCTAAAACACCAGAAACAAAAGGTAAATGTCTTAAAACACCAAAGGCAGGATGTCCCAATCTTCGATGCCACAAAGTCTTGTCTTCACCCGACTTAACTCTAAGACCTCACGCCAAAGCAACATCCCGATAAAAATAAACTCCACCTCGTTCTTCACCGGCTCCAATCAGGGTCCTCGTAAAACGGTCATGCAACACACAAAGAGTGTCAGTGAACACAGCCAAACAACCAGTCTGCTTGAGTAGTTTAGCAACCAACAGTAACGTGCAGTTCAAGTTAGGAACAAACAAAACATTTCTCAAAGTAAGCTTGTCTGATAGACGTAATAAACCGCTTTTGGATGCCTTTACTTGGCTACCATCGGCGAAGCTAACATGGCAATAGATTATGTCTACTGTATCGGTGAGCAAACCCAAATCACCGGTCATATGGTGAGATGCTCCGGTGTCTAGAATCACCTCACCCTTTTGACGCTTACCATTCATTTTGTCTGGAATAGGTGTTGGCTTCTGCTGCTCGAGAAGAGACATCAACGATGCCCACTGCTCCGGTGAAAGACCGGGAACTTCTGACCTTGTCGCGGCTTGAGCCACATTAGATCGAGGCTGCTGACTGTGACCTCTTCCTCTTCCTTTCGCACGACCGCCACCACCACGATCACTTCCTTGATTGCGCTCTGTCCACCAGTCCAGAAAGCCGACAATTTGCCAACAATCCTTCTTGTCATGACCAGATCTTCCACAGTGAGAGCAGACCACAGATCCTCCACGAATACGAGCCAATGCTGCAATCAGACCACTCATCGTTATGTTTTCATCAGCTTCAGTTTTTGACACAAAGCCGACAGCATCTTGCTTTGGTGTTTCAACACGCGAAGACTCAAGTCGTCTCTCTTCTCTTACCACTCTCTGATACACTGAGTCGAGATCGGGTAGAGGATCCATTCCGATGATGTGAGTGCACAAGTTGCCAAAGTGCGCATCGTCAAGTCCCATCAGAAACGTATGCATCTTCTTCTCTTCATAATCTGCGACGATCTTCTCAGACGCATCACACGTACACTTAGGAAGTGGCTTGTAGTTGAGTAGCTCCTCCCACTTCTGTGAAAGTCGACTAAAATAGTCAATAACAAAGGAACCACCTAGCTTACATGCCGATAACTCCGATCTCAGTTGATTCACGTGTACTGCGTTTCCCACCGAGAATCTCCTTTTCAGATCACACCACATCTTGTGCGCATCAGGCGTGAACGTCACGGTAGACCTGACCGCTGGTGAAATTGACGCCCTTATCCAGCCAACAATCATAGAGTTCACCGTCTTCCACATCTCTGCCTTAACTGGCTCTTCAGTCTCGCTCGGCATCTTCAGAGTACCGTTAATGAAATCGATCTTGCGCTTCGCACAAAGCGCGTTCTCCAACTCCGATGACCACTCGCCATAGTTCTCTCCCGTCAACGAGACGGTGAGATGGATACACCTGGATTATCCGACGGATGAAGATAGTACAGTGACGTTGTACCAATGTTACTGCTACTTGCAGATTTCACGATTTCTTTAGACATGATTTTTTTTTTCTCAACGTTTCTTCCGATGGATCTTTTTTAAAGAGGCTCTGATACCATGTAAACTAAGGAAGAAGAAGTTGAGAATGTTCTGAGTTGTATTCACGATGTGGAGACTACATATATACTTGTTACAATGAGATCACAACACATTAGATCTTTCCTTATCGACATCTACTCATTAGTATCACAATATCACAATATCTCCGATGCAACTTATTCCCCAAGTTTCGATATAACCATAAACTGACGTAATTGGACATACCGATGTAACCATAGGCTAACAATGAGAGTAAAAAATTGAAGAGAAATCTCTCTTTGAGAAGTACCAACGTGTTTTTGTCAATTGAACGAACTCCATTTGTTATTAGTAATTTTAATTATACAAATAAACTATTACCTGTTATAATAATCTTGAGAAACTCTTTACAAAGACCTGAACCAAATGTTATAACACGTTGAAAAGTAGCCGTCAAAGAAACTTCTGGATTTAGATCTTATAGTAAACACACACGTCACGTAAGCTAACACTGTCAGTTCAAAGAATTATCTGGAAACATTAGTGTGTTGTTGTTCAGTTTTGTAACCGCAGCCGCAGTGCTGGACGCTAATGCCGAAATAGATTAATGTTATATGTTTGGTAGATGCTCCCGACTATTTTCATTTAACTTATTTTTCTTTATAAA